TTTCCTTGTTTTTGTTTTTGTAGGTTTAACTATGGATCGAGTTGGCTTAAACACTTATCTAAATTATCAATGGCTTGCTCTAGAGATAAGAGCACAAGTTGAAGCAATAACTATCGATTGGGATGCAGAACTTGATGATGATGAACTTGAAAGATTTCAAGTAGTCATTGAAAGGCAGAAACTAAAGGCGGCTATAATAAAACAATTTAATATTACTTGTCGATGGTGTGAATTAGATCATTTTAGTTGTGATTGCTTCTTTAAACCATCTAACAAACATGTTGATTTTTCTATTAATTTTTATAGCCAACAGTATAATTCTTATCCCAATACATGCAATTTTGATCCAAACACCTCATGGAATAAGGAAGATATATTGGAGCCACAATCAAGGTTTCAAGCTCAAGAAGAGGAGACATGTTTGGATAAAATCTGGAGGTCCAATCAAGTAATTTGCTCGACTTAGTTGTTGAAAAATTACAAAGTGAGTTACCTAGTGCAACAATGAAAAATCAAGAAGAAGAGGTAAACACCTTACGCTTGGAGATTGGAGGACAACTTGGAGAAGTAGAAATTATGCTGGCAGAAACTAAACAAGAGGATGCCCCTAAGGAAGAAGAGGAAAAAAGCTCAAGTATCATTTGAAGTGTTCAATGGGGAGTCTCCTTTAACCAAATCTGATTTTAATGATTATTTTGTTATTGATATGGTTGATGAGATTTTGCAAAAAAACACTTATGAGGATCCATTTGAAATTTACCTTATTCAAGCAAAGGACCAATCAAAGAATACATAAATTGCTTGAACACATCATCTTCCTTGGAATCGAAGGGGGCAATCCTAGAAGAATTGGGAAGGCACATCTCTTGGTCTAAACCCAAACCACCTTAGAATAGTCATTGGAGAAAATCTTATGGTGGATTCAACTTAAGGACAACAAAGCCAAGATTTAAGAAAATGAGAGGACATGCCCTACAACCTAATCCAAGACCACCCTGGAGTGGTAGAAAGTCTAGCTAATGACTATAAATTAAGCGCTTCTTGGGAGGCAACCCAAGCATAAATTTTTCTTTTCTTTTATTTCTTTGTCTTTTATTTTAATAGTTTAGATTTTTTTTTTAATCATTTTCTCTTTATGGCTTAGGTTAATGCTTAAACTGTTGTTGTTTGATTTTGGCTAGGTCATTGAACAAGTTTGGAGGACAAGATTATGGAAATTCACTTGCTAGAAGTCTCCTCTAAATGAAGACAACTCAACTTCAGAACTTAAATTTTAAGTCTTCAAGTGCAAAACTTGGGAAGTTTCTCTTTTCTCCTACATTTAGTTTACATTGAGGACAATATTTGATTTAAGTTTGGGGGAGAGGATAACTTTTAGGCATCCATTCTTACATTAGTTTGCATTCATATTTGCATGACATACATCTTTTTTTAGAAATTAGGGTATTTTTTTTAGGAGTTGGTCCAATTAGTGTCAAGGAATTAAATATTCTTGAGTTGGAAATTTTAAAACTTTTAAAATCTTTGAATTTTAGAGGAAATACAAAATCTGAAAAATAACACCATTGTGATGAAGTTTAAGTTCGTGAGTATTATATTTGACTTGAGTACAAGTTTGTAGTAAGAAGTTTAGAGAGAAGATTTAGTAGCACCTAAATCGCACATAAAAAAGAAAAAAAAAACCCAATACAAAAGAGTTTATTAATTTTTCTAGTTGCCTAGTAACTGGGGGTTAGGCATGAGATCCGTGTCAACTTTCACGTCAAACGACGACTTGAAATATGAGTATGCAAAGCACTTTGAGTTTATGACTTGCTGAGTAACCGGGTCCTTTCATCACAAATGTTAGTATTCGCGTCAATAGACAAGTGATAGCTTAGGGAAGAATGTGTTGTATGGCTAAAAGGAAAAAAAAAAAAAAAGAGAAGTCAAATGTTTCATGGCCTTTGTTACTTGAGTAAGTATATTCTTAGGGGTGCCTCTTCATCTAATGCCCTAAAGCCAACTGGTTTTGGAGTCATTGACAAAAAAGCTCGTTACATGAGTAACTTAGAAAGCCTAAGGAAACTCGACATATGAAAAAAAAAAAAAAAAAGAGGGGAGAAATAGAAAAAAATAGTAATAAGTGCTAAGGTATGAAGGTCTAAACTTAAGACTTCTTACTAAAAATTTCCACACACACCAAGTGCTCATGAGCTAAATCTTTTAACAAGTGGTGTGAAGAATAGGATGAGTATTTGACTTTAAGTGAGTATATGAAAACTCTTGAATATTTGAGACTTTGTATCTAATTGAAATTTAATTCCTAAATTTTCTTTGCATGCATATCATATAGTTGCATTCTTGCATTGGGATTTTGTGGGTAGATTCGCTGAAAACCCTCATGAGACACAACTCATCCACTAGGGTGACCTAGGGGTTTAAAGGCTTGTTGTACATGCTAAGTGCAATCATGATTCTTATGAAAGTGAGTTAAGTTTTATTTTTGTTTCTTTTGTCTTTTTATTTTACTCGAGGACAAGTAAAACTTAAGTTTAAGGGAATTTGATGAGCTAAATTTATATATATGTTAATATGAAATTGTTGCCTTGATATTGTTGATATTTGGATGAATTTTATGAGATTTTACTTGATTTTACATAATTTTTATTCTTTGTGTAGGAAAAGATTTAATTGGAATAAATCATAATTTTTAGGAGTAATTGCAGAGATCAGAAACTTGAGGATCAACTTGTGCAGAATCCAGAAGTCAGGGACCAGGACTGTCATTTTACCATTACAGAAATTGCTAAGAAGGCCAAAAACCCGACACGGTGGCATTGTGCGCTGAACAGAAAGTGTCGGCACCTTGTTGAGGCTGTTGACCCCTTACGCGATTTTCACAAAATCTATGTTTAATTGGTTATTATGGGTGTGGGTCTCATTTCTATTCCAATTAGGGTTTTTAAAATCCTATAAATACCCATCCAAATTTAGAATTGAGAGAGCTTTAGAAGGCTGGTGGTAGCCTTCTTTTGGGCTCCAAGATAGAAATTTCATTAACAATAGAAGATAAAGGAAGTCAATTTCCTGAAATTAAGTTTTGTTTTTTCCTTTGATTCTTTTATCTATTGTTTGATATTCGAATATTCATAACTATAATTTCAGGTTTTATTATTTTTATTATGAACTAATTTATTTTATTAAGATTATGATGTAGCTTAATTAATTTAATATAGATTTTGTGGTTTTTAACTTTCAATTAAAGTTGTTCACATGAGGAATTTATATTATTAAACTTAATGCATTGGAAGCCTGATCACTTTTCAATTGATTTAGTAATTTATGCATGAACTTGGTAAAGAATTGCGTAAATTAGATCAATAATAATATAAACCGTGTTTTAAACTATGAGATCGAAAGGTAATTAGCTCATATGTAGTAGCTGAGGAAATGAAGAGAGTTAAGAGCTCCCCTTTTTAAGTTATTAAAACATGTTAATAATTGTGGTTTGGGTTACAAAAGATAATTATCAAAAGGGAAAGCTAAACCAGTATGTGATAAAAGTTATAGTTCCTCAAATAGTGAAAAAGAACTTATTATTCTTATAAAATTAGTTTTATTTCAAAATTAATTTCAATAAGTAAAAATTCATAAAAAACATAATTGAAAATCAATTTAATTAAATGAAGAAAAACTTTGTTAAAAAGTTAACATATTAGACTAAACTAAAATAAAAGTAAAAGATAATAAATAGATTTGAAATATTTAAAAGATAATAGAAGAAACATAAACTGCTTATTAAATTAAATCTTTCAAGAGCTACCATTAAGTTTTCATATATATTGATCTCTATATTTTTTTAGAAAGAACGAGTTGAATAACAACAATTTACTTCACGGATCTTTTTTTTTTTT